GACTCTGTTCTTTTGTTCCTGGGGCTGGCGCCATCATTTCTGGGGACTTGAAACTGGCCTGGCCTAGATCACAGTCCCCAAAGCCCCCACTGAAGACTTTAGGTACAGAATGCAAAAGTAAGGTGTTTTCTAAGTTTACAAGTCTCCAGAGAGGCTCTTCCAAACCTCTCACTCACAGCAGGGAGGTGGGAAGGAGGTCTCCCCTTTCTTTGTGAGGCTAGTTCTTAAAGACACAGACCATATAATTTATTTTAACCCGCCTCCCTTTTTAGTCTTTTGGTCGAATATCCTGACTGTTTTCCAAAGTCCCTGTAGCAGATACAGTCACCTGGGGAAAAGGGGTCTAAGTTCTTATCTACACTTAGGAATCCTGGTTTAAGCTTCTCTTTGTCTGTAGGAGATAGAGTGGAGGGTTTTACTGAGGTATCACATATTCGGCTGTTCTTTTCCATATCATCTCCTCTCCCATCTCCTTCTCTCTCCTCAGCTCATTCTTCCTCATCTTGTTCTTCCCCATCTGGCTCTTCCTCATCTTCCATCTCGTTCCTCTAGTACTCTCTTTTAGCCCTTCAATCTACTTCTTCCCCATCTCAGTTTGTTTCTCTCAAGTTCTTACCCATCTAGTTCTTCCATTCTCTTTTCTCTTCTCTGTCCTCCTGTGCCCTGGAAGTCCTGGTATATATACACTTACAAGCAGTATTCCCTTAGAAGTGCAAAACCAGGCTTCCAGGGTCAAATGGAGGGGTGATAAGAATCACATAGGGAGGCAATAACCATTAATTATCATTTGCAACCCCAAAGGGAAGTGACCAATGGGGAAATGAATTAACTAACGGCTAAATTTGGGTAATATCTATGAAGAGGGCTCTTATGTGCTCAACTATAATCTTAAACGTGATTGGTAGAAAATGTTAAGAATCTATAAGTTGCTAGGTCAATGGGAGAAAATAAAACTGCCTTCTTTTATCCTGTGGCTCCTATCTGTCCAAGCTATCTGCCGTTTTTTCTGCAGGGTGGGGGAAAGTGTGCTCAATCGCTAAGCAACGTGTATACATCTAGATGCCTCTGGTGATAGTTAAAGGGAGACCTGGAACTAGAGGTAAGGTTTGGGAAAGGAGGAAGTAAAGCTTAATTGGCACATCTGCCAGGCCTTCTCAAACAGGTAGCACAGATGCTTAAGTCTGTTCTTAGAAAGTACGGAGGTATCTCTGATAAGGTACTTTCCTCCATCTGGGGATGGACCTGGCCAGGTGCTGTCAATGATGATAATTACAGGGATGCTTGAACTGGGGTTCTGGCTGAGCATAGTTGTTAGCGCACAAGTTATCTAAATATTCCTGGAAGTAGTTAGGTAAGGAGAGGTCTATAAAGTTAGTAAGGCTGTAAGAAGAGAGGGTATGAGCTAAATTGTGTAAAGCTATTACTGAACATCCACCTGACCTAGGCAGTGTCTCCTTGTGGAATTTGTCTTAAATCAGGAGACTTGCATGTGGGCTGTTATTACTGCTAGTCCTTGAAAGTGGCCAAGGGAGGTATCTGATTTCAGAGAAAACCTTTCCTGAGGCTGTTCTCCAAATACCTTGAATGTGTATGTCCAGAGAGTGATCAGTCCACACTGTTAGTCCTTCTTAGGGAAAAGTCAATTGGGAAAACTATGAAGGCACACATGATTTTCATAACAGAATACAGCTGATATATAACAAGCCAAGTAACACCAAAAACTCCTTGGGATTTGGCTTCCTCTGGAGAAATTCCCTGATTCCTCCAGGTAGTGACTTTGCCATAACCAGCTGAGTTCTTATGATATATTCCTGTGGCCTACAGCAGTGTAGGACAAGATTAACAGCCATGGGGGTATCACTGAGCCCATACACTCCTTTCCACCCGTCACCTCCTGAATTAAAAAAACTCAGGGCCATCTTACTAGGAAGACCACACAAGAGGGCTGATTCCCTTAGCTACATTTTGCCCTTCTTACTTTTGCTCTAATTGGGCAGGCATGCAGGCCCTGCTTATCCTCTCAATCCGACTTGAGCAGGCTGGTACTGGATAAGGGCAGAAGAGGAAACTGGATGCCTGCATCAAAACAACTGGTCAGGACTCTTTCTCTAGCCTCGAAGACAACTGGAATTTAAATCGAAATGGGCAGCAACATTCAGAAAGATATTGAAGATGTATCCACAAAGGACTTAGACAGGGGTCCCAAATCTGGGACTGAACAGAGTTCTGATGTTATAACAAAAATCCAATGAAGACAAAATTCTTGAAGCAACTTTATGAATTGTGTCAGAAATTGCCAATATGGATTCTAACCTGCTGGAAAATGTCATGATTGTGAGTATGATCTAGATTTCACAAAGTATCCCTGGTGTTAGAAAGAAATTACAAAAGGTAGGTTCTGGAAGAATGGCGAGGTTCCGACTGAGGTAAATCCTGAGGTCTGAGCATCCGAGGAGCTAAGGGCCAATGGTACAGTGAAGGAATCAGTCTGGTAATTTAAATTTTCTTGCAGTAGGATTTATTAGGTTATTTTCTGAAATCAGACTTATTGGAAATACACCCACACATTGCCAATAGTATCACTAATGGAGAAGGCCCAGTCTCATGAGTGCATTTGTATAGACCTCAAGGCCATTCTTGATGTTTTGCCAACTATACACTCGGCCCTCCTTTCCTAAGGCAGTCTGATGAACCACATTCCCTGAGACGACTCCCATTATTATTATTGGAATTGGAAGATCCTTTTCATTCTTCAGTGGTAAGACCAGACTCAACAATTTACAACTCTAAATTGTACAGCTTAGTACTTTGGGGGATTCGGTGGGGTGACTTAGAATTCAATGATCTTTGGAGAGATACTGGGTCAAGATGTGCCAATTGTCTTGTGTGTGTGTGTGTGTGTGTGTGTGTGTGTGTGTGTGTGTGTGTGTACTGATTCCTGCAGGGGGTCAGAAGAACCACTGGATCCCGGGCAGCTGGAGTTCCAGGCTGTTGTAAGCTGAGAACCAAAGTTGTGAACTGGGTCCTCTAGAAGGAGCTCTTAACTGCAGGACCATCTATCGAGGATAAGATTTAAAGGCCTAATATTGCAGGGAGGCATGTTACAGCATGCCATTCTGGTAACTAGAAACTAGGAGACTTTAAACCACTTACTAGGACTCTTAGCCTGCAAGGCCCAAATCTGTCAGAAGGCTGAGAAATTATTGGGTTTCCTCCTCCAACCTGGAAAGAGGAGCCTGTTTGGAAATCAGTAACAGACAATTAGACAAATGGAAAAAAAACTATTGCAATTCTCAGGCCATTAAAAGTATTCCTAGGCATGGCAGATTATTGTAGAATTTGATCCCAAATTTTGATCTCACAGCTAAACCCTTTATGAAGTTTTGAATGGACCCAGGAATATTTGTCGGTTTTTGAACCTTTAAGAAGGGCATTGACATCTGCTCCTGCTGTGAAAATTACAAGCTTGCAAAAGTCTTTTCGGTTATATGTTCATGAAGAGGGTAGAGTCCTATTGGGAGTTCTCACTTTGATGATTGGAGATGAACCTCAAACTGTAGCCTATTTATCAAAGTAAATGGATAATAATGGGGAATGATGGGAAGAAGAGGGTGGTAGGGGACTTTGTGTTAGACACCATGGGAAGGACTCTGCACTTACACAAAATGGTTTGTTTGTTCTGAGTTAATCTGCACACAAGCCATCTTAATGCCCTGTTTGTTCTGAGTTAACTCTACATCCCATTGGTCTGGAAGACTGCAGCACTCGTATCTGACACCACGGGACATTAACCAGACTAAAAGAATTGTTGGGTGCCCGGGTTCAGAAGTCAAGCAACGGGGAAGGCGCACATTGACGTCTTTGGAACTCGGTAGTGAAAAGGTGAGGAACAAAGAATAAGCTTGAGCACTAATAATTAACTTTGTATGCTTCACTAGGAAGCTTCTGGTTTGAGACGGGGTATTAAGGTGACTTCTTTGGAGTGGTGGTATTAAATCCAACCTTCATGATCACACCAGCCGTTGACTGAAGTCCAACTGAAAGTGTCAATTCCTGCCTCCGTTCGTTGGTGGCTGGAGTTACGGTGCGAGCTTGGTTGTTCGCTCCGTACAGTGAGAGATGACGCTGTACGTGAAAACAGTCCAATGGAATGAATGGCCTGTTTCGTGTAAATGAAATGCTTCAACTCGACCCAGCCAAGGCACCATCGAGTTGAATCGTAGTCCTCCCACTGTCCTAGAGAGGAGCCGGAAGCTACTGGGCTGGAACGCGGAGGGGACATGTGACTGACCCTGCAGCCAGGGCGGGTGGACTAGGGTGATCGAGTGTCCGCGGGGTCAGAGCGGCAACCTTGGGACTCTGGAGCGGCGCGGCGCGCCTGGCAGGTACACAGAAGCCGTCCACACCTCGGAGCGGGGAGAGCAGAAGCGGGTGCGTGGCGGAAGCCCCGGTTCTCGGGCATGGGAGAGGGGTGCCGCCGAGGACGCAGTGAGCTCGCAGTTGGTTGTCGAGACAGTTTCGTACTTACCCTGGAACACACTATGTAGCTTAAGCTGACCTCAGACTCCTGGATGTCCTCCTGCCTCAGCATCCCGAGCGCCGGGATTACAAACGTGAGCCAACACGCCTGGCTTCCGTTGGTTTTATTTTTGTTGTGGTTTTGTTTTGAGAGCGTTTCGTGAAGCCCAAATTGGCGTCCCTCCTGTGGTGGAGGACAGCCTTGATTTGAACGCCTGTTTCTCCTTCTTCCACCTCCAAGCGCTGAGCTCATAGGCCGGCGCTCCCACACATGGTTGAAATGGTGCGTGTTTAAGTAGTTTTCACTGTAAGTAACCAGAGTGTTTGCAGTCGATCATCTGAGGAAGATGGATGGACGCAGGTGGCTTTAAGAGGCATGCGCGAGAGAACGGCGAGCACAGAGGCCCGGAAACGAGAGCTTGTCTATCTTATTTAGGGAATAACAAGGTCACCAGGATGTTTCGAGTGCAGTAAGATTGCCAGAAGGAATAAGTGTGTGGAAAAAGAAAAAGTGGGCATTTTGTTGTGTGAGGAAGTTGGTCTTGGGGTGAAAGACATAATACGACAGGTTTTGAAGCGTTTATAATTGGAAATTCATAATAGGAATAGATGGGAAGGCGAGCAGAAATGAAATCGAGAATAATTCAAAGTTGGGTGCAATTAAAAACCTGCATCTGAGCATGGTAGCTAATTTCTATACCACTAGCACTTGGGATACTGAGGCAGGAGGATTGCCATTAGTGGCTACAGAGGGAGGCCCTTGGAAGGAAGAAGAGAATTGGCAGGAATTCTGGTGGGCAGTGAAGACTGACTGTTGTGGTAGTTGTTTGTGAGTAGGCAGAGCCCACAGCATTCGCTTCTGGATCAGATGCACACCAGCAAGAGAGAAGGGGAAAATAAATTCAAAATTTTGGGTCTGTGGATTAAAAACAATTTTTTTTTGGACAAAAAGATCTAAAGTTCAGCTTTTAGACCTTGTGTAAATTCTTCAACTCTCCATGTCAAGTTGTCAAGTTTCCTCTGTAGTATAAGGTTAAAAGTAGTTCTTTTTTTTTTTTTATTTTTTATTTTTTGGTTTTTCGAGACAGGGTTTCTCTGTGTAGCTTTGTGCCTTTCCTGGAACTCAGTTGGTAGCCTGGCTCTGCCTCCCAAGTGCTGGGATTAAAGGCATGCGCCACCACCACCCGACTAAAAGTAGTTCTTAATAGGCTTCTGTGGAGATTGAATTAACAAGTGAAGAGCAGGTAGAGCACTTCTGTTGGCCTGTTTATTATGCTGGGACATGAGGCATGAGTTGTCATTAATAAGGAGAAAAAAATGGAAGGGGTTTTCCATTAAGAGTGAGATTTATATTATGCCGAGTGGAGATGGCTCACACCTTTAATCCCAGCACTTGGGAGGCAAGAGGCAGGCCGATCTCTGTGAGTTCAAGGCCAGCCTGGTTTACAGAGCAAGAGGCGCAAAGCTACACAGAGAATCCCTATCTCGAGACCCCCCCCCACCCCCCAAAAAAAAGTAAGATTTATGCCGGGCGGTGGTGGCTCACGCCTTTAATCCCAGCACTCGGGGAGGCAAGAGGCAGGCCGATCTCTGTGAGTTCGAGGCCAGCCTGGGCCATAAAGTGAGTTCCAGGAAAGACGCAAAACTACACAGAGAAACGCTGTCTCGAAAAACCAAACAAACAAAAAAGAGTGAGATTTATAAGGACCCAAGAAGAACAAACAAACCAAAGTACTGGAGAAACTGAGAGTAGTTCGTTAAAGCATAAGAAAAGTTTAGAGCGTATGAAATGTTTTCAACTTGATCTTAGTGGTGACGGCCAGTCATTATGTGCAACAGGCGCGATGGAGATATGATTCATTTCCTCCCTAGGAAGATCACAAGTGCAGTGTGGGAAATAGGTTGGTGTCAGGAAGACCGCTCAGAGCAGTGGGTCTCAACCTTCCTAATGCTGCACCCCTTGAATTCCTCATGTTGTGGTGACCCCCAACCACAAAAGTATTTTCATTGCTACTTTGTGACTGTAGTTTCACTGCTGTTATTAATTGCAATGTAAATATTTTGGAAATAGAGGTTTGCCAAAACGGTCATGACCCATAGGTTGAGGATTGCTGGGTTAGAGTCTTCCAAGTAGAGCATGTCATCAAGAAACATGTGGTTTCTTGAACACAAGAAGGATGTATTTATTTGAATGATATGAAGCTGCGGAATCGAAAGAACTGGGGCTGCTGGAGAGATGGCTCAGCGGTTAAGAGCGCTAGCCAACCTTCTAGAAGACCCAGATTCAAATCCCAGTGCCCACGTGGCAGCTCAGCCATTGGTAATTCCAGTTTCAAGAGATCTACACCCTCTTCTGGCTCTCTTGGGGCACACATGCGTGCAGACAAAACACCCATACACATAATTTTTTAAAGGAACTTGATTAATTCTATACATACAGTATGAAAGGAGGAGGAGAGAGGAGGTTTTCTGGTTTAAATGTCAAAGTAGATGAACCCTCCCAAAGACCGGTTAAACCACTGCGTATTGTGTTGTTATATTTAACCACATTTTTAATACAATTATTGATCTATTTAATACATTAATCCAATTATTATAATTAATCTAATTACTAATCACATATTTAATCTGATTAATTAAGAGTCACCGTTAATTTATGTGTTATGCCTGTACTAGAGTTCTTCGTGCCTTTAAATTGTCTACATATGTCTGGGTGTGTGCACTGAGTACAGTTGTCCTTGGGAGCCAGAAAGGTATTCAGATCTCCTGGTGTTGAAGTTGCCAGTATTGTGAGCCACCCAGCAAGGGTTCAGGGACTGACCCTCAATGGTACCCTCTGTGAGCCATCTCTTCAGCCCCTTTATTAGAGTTATTTAAAGAATGGGACCAAATTTCATATTAATTTTGGTCAGTAGATGTCTAAAATGAGACTTATTTTAAAAAGTGAAAGTAGAAGGGGGGCTGTTGGGGAACAGGATCATTGGGGGGGCAATTAATCAAAATACATGTGTATGACATGCCATGACGAGATCCTTTGTTGTGCATAGTTAATCAATGCTCATTTTAAAAAGAATAGGAAAACAGTCAAAGATTTATTACAAAGGTTACCTCATGATTATGGCAGCTATCAAGTTCTAAGATCTTCAGGAGGAATTAAGCTAACAACAAACTAGCAAATGATTTCATTTTAGTGTACACTGAAGACCTCTGAACCCCCAAAACTGATTATTTAGTTCAGATCTGAAGACCAGAGACTTCGGACCCAGAGGAACCGAAGTCTCAGTCCAGAGCTGAAGGCAGAAGGAAAACACTGGTATCTGCGTTTCAAAGCTGTTAGAGAGGAAGTCTTATTCCCTTACTTGGAGAGGATCAGTCTTTCTGTTCTCAGACCTTCAGCTGATCGGGCGAGGCCCACTACATTATGAAGGACAATCTGTTTTACTCAGCCCACAGTCTATTAATTTAAATATTAAATCTCATCCCAAAACACAGAAACATCCACAATAATGTTTGACCAAATATCTTCACACCATGTGTCCCAGAATTGACATATAAACTAGCCACAATAGCAAACCATATTTTATGGCTAATAATCATCACTTTCTTGGACTTTTTCAAGCCTCTACTGATAGGACAGTAGCCTCTCACATCCTTGTTACTTGAGAGGATGAAATAGAGAGCCTCAGGCACATGAGGCTACATTGAGTAACATAGCCAGACTATATCAGAAACATACAGAAGACGATTACTAGTAGTGGCTTTTACATTTAATCACTTATTAATGCAGGATCCCGTTATGTAGCCTAGGTTGGCCTCAAAACATATAAGCCTTCTGCCTCAGCCTCTGGAGTGCTGGAATACAGGCCTGAAGTACCACCTCTGGTTTTAGATGTTTGGTGTTTTGTTTTAATATAAGCACCAATGCTTATATTTATATTTAGTTATGTCTCCTTAACCTAGACAATGACATCCTAGCATCTGCTTTTTGTGTGGGGGAAATTGGATCCATGCCTGTTGTAGATGAACTAGAGTTCTTGATTTCTCAGAAAGTTTCCTCAGTGAATTCATGATAAATAATATTTATTCAAGTGTTCTCTAGGTGATAGGATATTTGGTGTTGTATCCTATCACCTTACTATTGCTGCTGCTGAGTTCTCCCTTCATGAATGTGCAGTGTGGTGGTCAACACAGAGAACATTCTATTCTTCCCTCTTTTACCACAGTGGTTTTAGCATTCATTTGTGTTTCTCAACTAAAGCATTTATTTTGAGATTTTAAAAGTGGTGATTTTTCAAGCCAGGCCTTGGTGGTGCTTGCCTTTAATCCCAGCAATGGGGAGGCAGAGGCAAGCAGATCTCTGAGTTCGAGGCCAGCCTCGTCTACAGAGGAGTTCCAGGACAGCCTCCAAAGCTACGCAGAGAAAACTGTCTTGAAAAACAAACAAACAAAAACTGGTGGTTTTTCAGATTTCTTACTATTGCTAGGCTGTATGGCAACCTATAAAAGTTTTTTTACTTTGTTTATGTACACTTAGAAATAGCTGTTTTAGAGAAAACAACCTAAAGAAAGATCACTTGTTGCTGTTATTACTACTAGCACTGCTGTTTCTGTGACTCTTGTGTTCTTAGGAGTCCCTCAGGATACGGTGGAGAAAGTTCTCCAAAACAAAGTGCCTGAATTCAACAAGGGATGGCACTGGCCTTGGTAAGTGTGTATCCATGTGCATTCTTCTTCTTCTTTTTTTTAAAGTTCTTTGAGATTTTCAACAACATGTTCTGATCATATTCTATTCCCAAACATACCTCTTCCCAGATCCACCCTAGCAAGCGTGCATACTCTTTGGCTCCCCTGGGTCTGAAGGAGGAGCTTCAGGTAATGAGGGGATCACTTCTGTTCATGGAATCAGAGGGCTGACCTTGGGGGTCCTAACAGACTAAATTTAGTGACTTACCACTCAGTCCAGTGAGAGAGGTGAGTGGAAGTGAAATAAGAAGGGAATTTATTACTTAGCATGTCCATATCGTAAAGCAACAGGAAGAGGGTGTCCTAAGCCCTGTCTTAGGGCCCTGACAGGAACTCGAGGATTAAATGGGAAAAGGACAGAAGCTGAGAGGAAGGGGGGCAAACAGCATACATAGATAGTCCTTGCTGATCTGTCGTGGACAAATGGATCAGTCGTTATTTCATGCTGGTTCTGTAAGGTCCTGATAGCTCCAGCGAAGTGGTTACTGCTGAGGCAGCCAATGCTGGTACCTGTGGATCCCATCATGGGTGATCTATCTGCAAAGTTCTTGGTCTCTTGAAAATAACTTAGTTATTCTTACCTTGGTGACATTAGCCTTAAAGGGGGACTAGAATCGTGATTTAGGACTTTAATCCCAGCACTCAGTGGCAGGTAGATTTCTGCGAGGCCAGCCTGATTTACATACCAAATTCCAGGCCAGCCAGAGAGCTGCATAGTGAGATCTTGTTTCAAAAAGAAAAAAACGAGGAGTGGGGGTACCAGCAAGGCTGGATAAGTTAGGAGCTATCAAGCTTTGTTTGCCAGTTGTCAGAGAGACACTCCTTAAATGATTACCTGCAGAGCTGAGTAGAAATCTGACTCAAAGTTTAAGGTCGCAAAAGAGATAATAGTTGCAGATCCAAGTCTGTGATTTGAGCCACTGTTAAAACTACTGTGCTTGGGAACAGGGATTCAGAGTTGAAGGAGACAGAAAAGGCCTTGGGCAGGAGCCGTTGAGCAGACAGTTCAGGCAGCTGCGCTATGAGGAAAGCACTGGACCGCGAGAGGTTTTACGCCGACTCAGGGAGCTCTGCAGACAGTGGCTGCAGCCTGAGACCCGCAGCAAGGAGCAGATCCTGGAGCTGCTGGTGCTGGAGCAGTTCCTGACCATCCTGCCACGAGAGCTGCTGGTCCGGGTGCTCGAGCACCACCCCGAGACTGGGGAGGACCTGGTGGGAATACTGGAAGATTTGCAGCGAGACCGTGGAGGAGCAGGACAACAGAAGGTAAGGGGTGTAGGTGTCCTTCTGCAGGAAAGTAAGAAGTGAGCCCCCAGGTCACAGAGGTGGACATGAGCACAGCAGTGGGAGGGCACTGCGCACTGCTGCTCATTCAGCCTCACCTCACCCTTCCGTCCCCTGGTGTGCGGAGGCTCTCCATTCCTCTGTAAAGTTCCTCTTTGTTCTCCTTTCTAATACTGAGATAGCTTCTTGTAAACCAGTTTCCTAATTATCTGTACTTATCTCTAGGACCCAACCCAAGGAAACAGACAGACTGTGCTGGTCCTGCCTGAGCGGGAGGTGCGGAAGCCTGAGCCTGAGGTGCGGGCGCCTGAGTGGGAGGTGAAGAAGCCTGAGCGGGAGGTGCAGAAGCCTGAGCAGGAGGTGCAGAAGCCTGAGCGTGAGGTGCGGACGACTGAGCAGGAGGTGAAGAAGCCTGAGCGGGAGGTGCAGAAGCCTGAGCGGGAGGTGCAGAAGCCTGAGCGGGAGGTGCGGAAGCCTGAGCGGGAGGTGCGGACGACTGAGCAGGAGGTGAAGAAGCCTGAGCGGGAGGTGCGGAAGCCTGAGAAGGACAAGGGTAAGAACTAAATGGAATCTTTTGCATTTGAGTTAGGGTAGACCATGCAGTGCCCTCTGCCTTGACACTCCTAGCTTTTTGTGTTTTGATTTGATCAGATCTGTTGTGGAATAATTTATATACACAGTCCATACGGTAGCCTCGCTAGTCAGTGAGTTGTTTTATATATACAATAAACTTAGTCAGTACCACAGTCAAGATTTAAAGGATGAACCACAATTTAAATAAAGAGCACGCCAAGGAGAAGTGGACCTGGACCTGGACTTCCCTTCTTTTCCTACCCAAGGCACAGAAAGAAGCTCAGGCACGAGTTTCCTCATTCATTGTCTTATCTCTTGCACATCACTATAAATGGAAGTGGTGAGGGTGGTGACTCGGCCTGGTGTTTGTTTGTTTGTTGTTGTTGTTTTGGGTTCTCCTTTGCTGCTGTTCTGTTCCTTATATTTTTCTCTGTAGACCCTTGTCTCTCTCCCTCCCCTACTTAGTGTCCTTTTTTTCTTTTGTGGAGATAGGGTCTTTTTCCTCTGTAGGTCAGTTGATAGTTGATCGCAACTATGTAGACCAGGCTAGCCTTGAGATCTCCGAAGTGTCTTCTTGATACTTCCACTAAGTTACCCTCTGTTCTTTTCTGTTGCTTAAATACAAATGTATTGTCTCCCCCTTCCTGAAAACTCATAGTGAATTGGGTAATGCTCTTCTGTTTTTTCACATGAAAAACTGTGACCGTGTTGGGAAGAGGAACAAAGAGATGCAGCTCACCCCCCAACTTCAATAACAAGTTGTCCCCTGCCTCCCATTCATAGGTACTCCATTGTGCCCCATTTCATTTCCTGTTTTCTCCTTCTAGTTTCTCTCTCTTCTGGGTCTCCCCTGCCTCATCCCTTCTGTTCCCTGTTTTTCCAAGTCCCCTCCTTGCTCCCTTTATCCTTCCTCTATCTGGTCAGTGTCCCACGTGTGCTCTCTGTTACATTATGTTTTTATAGTTTCTGCCTGGCTTCTCTTTGTCCTTCCATAGTTAAAGGGCAGGGTTTTGTATTGTGCTCTGAATCTGTTACAGCCCCTAACCTTGAGTAAACAGTATCTGTTGATGACTGGCTATTCTTATTTTTAAAGCTGACCTCTGCTGTCTTCTCTGTTCAGTATTTTAGAAAAACTTGCAGTATATGAATAGGTTAAGAAACCTCTGTTCCCCTCTTGGAGGGCAATACTTCATATTTCAACAACATGATGTTTTTGCAAATTCATTATTCTCAGGGTCTTGTGGCCCAGGTGCTATTGATTTATTGAGAAGGACTTAAATTACTTTTCTAAGATTACATTCTACTCAGTGATAAATTGTCACTATGCCAACACATTTTCATTTTTCAAAGTATCATCCCTTTTTAATGTGATGGTCCTCGGGTGACCTAGTTTTATGCTTTTTGTTCCCCATGTGACAAATCGTGATCAGGAATGTACAGTCATGCTTAGTAGCTTCTGTGTGAGTTATGTATATCACATAATAAAATTTAGAACATTTAAAATAAATTGCCTCCTACCACGACCCCTATGCTTCCGTCAAGGCAGTCATGGTTAACAATTTTTTGGATGTCAAGCTTGGTATGTTGACACCTGACTAATCTCCGGACTTGAGAGGCTAAGGGAAGAGGGTTTATGTTAGGCCAGGTTATTCTGCATATTGAAACCTTACCTCAAGAAAAAACAAAAATCAAAACCACAGTTTCTTATAAATCATCCCATATATATTTTAAATAATCATAAGCAAGCAATTTTTTTAAACTTTGTAGGGATTAAAGAGAAGGCTCAGCTGTTAAGAACACTGGCTGCTTTAGCAGAGACCTGGTTTCAGTTCTCAGCACCCACATGTCCACTTGGGTCTCCATGGGCACTGCATGCATGTGGTACACGTGCAGGCAAGACACTCATGCACATAAAAGTTTTTCTTTTAATCCTTTTAAGTTTGTACACATGGTTTGACTTAAATATTTCTTCCTATTTGCAGATTCCTTTTCCTGAACATGAAAAATTAAATAAGTAGTGATGTATATATATATTTAATGTTTCAGGTAAGGAAACAAGGAATGGGAGTGGGAAGCTTGTTATAGTGACAGACCATTGTGGAAGAATCAAATCATCTTGTACAACATCTAAACCCATGGAGGCCCACAGTGAGAACTTGCACTTCAAAAAGCAACCAACCATGCCCAAGGAGAAAACTAGCAGCCAATGCTTGGAAACTAAGGAGGGACTTGTCCAGCACTCAGCCCTGACTGAACATGAAAGGGCACATGCAGGAGAAAAGTCTCGTGAATCTGTAGTGTGTCAGAGTTCTGTTCCTACTGAGCAACAGGAAGTCCTCTCTAAAGAGAAAGGTCACCCCTGCCACGAGTGTGGGAAAGTCTTTCAGAGGAGTTCACACCTCATCAGACATCAGAAAATCCATCTTGGTGAGAAGCCTTACAAGTGCAAAGAGTGTGGGAAAGTCTTCAGCCAGAATGCAGGCCTTTTGGAACATCTCAGAATCCACACTGGAGAAAGACCCTATCTGTGTATCCATTGTGGAAAGAACTTCAGAAGAAGCTCTCATCTTAATCGACACCAAAAAATCCACAGTCAGGAGGAGCCCCGTCAGTGCAAGGAGTGTGGGAAAACCTTTAGTAAGGCCCTGCTCCTCACCCACCATCAGAGAATCCACGGCCGTGCCAAAAGACATTATTGTAACGAGTGTGGGAAAGGCTTCAGTTTGACTTCCGACCTTATTCGACATCACAGGATTCACACTGGAGAAAAACCTTTCAAGTGTAAAGTGTGTCAGAAAGCCTTCCGTCTAAACTCACATCTAGACCAGCATGTCAGAATCCACAATGAAGAAAAACCCTATCAGTGTAGTGAATGCAAAGAAGCCTTCAGGCAGAAGTCAGGTCTCTTTCAGCATCAGAGACATCACCACAAGAGCAAACTGGCTTGACGAGGTTCTCTGTTTGAGATATCGGAACGTTACATTGACAAGCAAACAGTGCTTTTTAAAAAGTCACCTTGGCAAGAGTTCTTGGAGGCCAAATTGGAAGCCATTTGCCTCCATTGTTTTTCTCTCCTTTGTTTTAAAGCCATAATGAGACTATAATAATTTCACTTTAGGTGGTGGGATCAGAGTTAAACAATTCTTCACTAGAAGACTTCTCAGAGCTTTTAATGTGATAAGTACATGATTATTTATTTCTAAGTAATAGCCTCATGTATGAATGAAATCTTTGAAATCAGCAAGTCAAGTGCCTACAGATTTATACAGAATGAGAGCAAGCTGATTATTTTTGCAAGTACTATAGCAGCAGGCTCCTGTAAAATAAAACTAATGAGGGTGGGGGGATGGTTCAGTGGCTAAACCAGTTCCTATGCAAGTATAAGGACAATATTTTGGATCCCCAGCCCCCATGCAGAAGTCAAATGGGTAGAAGTCAAATGGGTATGGTGGCCTGAATGTGGTCCTACCCCTCAGGAGGCAGAATGGAATCTTTAGAGCAAGTGGATTAGCCAGACTAGCGTTATCAACAAACATGGATTCAGGTGGGAGAATTTGGAGAGCAGTTGGTGGAATGATCAAGGAAGACTCCTGATATTAATCCAATTACACGTGCACCCACACACATGTCTACCCCACACATGCACACATCACACATCACACACACACACACACACACACACACACACACACACACACACACACACACACACGATAAAACAAAACCCCAAGGGCTGGAGTGGTGACTTGGCAGCTAACATTGCCTGCTCTTGCAGAGGACCCATCCGTTTGCAGTTCCCTACACCTACATAACAGTTCACAACCCCAGTTCTGGGGATCTGATGCCCTCTTCTGGCCTCCTTGGGCTCCTGTACACAAATGGTCCACATAAACTCACACAGATGCACACATACACAAATAAAAAAAATGGTTAAAAAAATTAAGCCCAAAATAAATCTAATAATGCTTGGAAATAGACATTCTCAAGAGTCTAACATAGGTTAACTAAACGTTTTCCTACTGGTTTCACTCACACACTGACCTTGTATCCACTTTACCCATGAACCATCAGTGAGTGCCCTTCAGAAAGCAAAGATAGTTTTTTTTTGTTTTTTTGTTTTGTTTTGTTTTGTTTTTTTGTTTTTTGTTTTTTGTTTTTGTTTTTTTTTTTTGCTGTTTAACTATGGAGCCTGCCCCTCCTGGGTTGGCTCCTATCATTTTACATTTCCTACCTATTTTAACCACAGTGTCACACTGTTATAAATCAAAGTTTTACGTGAACTATGCAGGAGACTGAGTCATTTGAGTGACCTGTGTTGAATTAATCTAAACAGCAACTTTCTTGCTTAGCAGTTTCTAGTGCCATTACAGTGACTAATTGAAAAACACTTTTTAATGAATGTCCCATGGGGGAAAATGACTTTCCCTTTGATACCAATGATGACATTTTAAATGATATTTATTTTGAAATAATTTTGACCATTAAGATCATCTTGGAGAGATGATCGTGGTCATTGTGTTATTGACTGTCTTGCTAGTGATGAAAAATGAGCTTGGAGGAGTCTTCCCAGGCATATTACCAGAATGGTAGACTTGCTTCTGGGTTGGGAATAGCACAGGGTATAGTTCTCCAAACTCTCCTTTGTAAGTTATGCAACTCTGGGAAGGAAAGTGGACCCCTGTAGTGATTCCAGCTTGGGGTCATACACTTCTTGTCCAACAGAGAAAGCTGGAGTCAGTCAAAGACTGATCCATGGTATCACTACTGTCTGAGTCTCGGGCCTTTCAGCCCCGTCATCATAGTCACTCATCAGTTTTTAAGAAGGCCATGTGATGGCTGAAATTGCAACTGTCATGGAAAGTGTGGACAGAAGGTTAAAAAGAGGCTCCTGGTTAAGTCGGCCATGTTGAGCAGCTTTCCCCAAATTTGCTTAGCATGTATATCCTAGGCCAAAACTTTGACAAAGGAAGCAGGCAAAGGTCTTGTTTTGTGCAGAGCTAAAACTGTGGCTGAAGGGATAAAAGGGAAGGTAGATGTCAGAACCGCACCTGCCAGTCCCTGGCCTGTCCCTCCACTTAGATCTGACTGGCAGCAAGCTGACCAGAAGCACAGCACCGTTTTCTATGGGGAGACCAGATGTGTGAGCAGTAGATGCGGCTCATTGAAACACTGAAAACCTCCATGCAAAGTCAGTCCTGCTGCTTATAAGCTAAGAAACCTATTTTTTCTTCTGCCTTTACAAGAAAATTAAGTTGAGGTCATGGGTACTTTTCCCAAATAATTTGAGGGCTATACTGAGATCAGTGCCTAAACACTTAGCTCCGTGTTAAAATTTAAAAAAAAAAAAAAAAAAAAAAAAAGATTCTTTTCAGTTTAATGAGGAAGCATATAGATGTCTTGTTCTTATGGAAAAATTTAAAATCTGAAGCCCTGTATACTCTGAATTACTTGGATATTTGGTCTAGGCTTTCTCATATTTGGTCAGGAATTTCTCTTTGGGTAGTATCTGTCCCTTCAATATCCAAATACAGAGTGAAGTAGAAGACTGGTTGTCGCCACCCACTCAGTTCTCCCATTTATAGAAGATAAATGCAGTTATATGGCTTACCACTACAGAAAGAATATAAGCAAATAAAAATAGGAGGAAGTTGCCAGGCAGTGGTGGTGGTGGTGGTGGCGGTGGTGGCGCCCGCCTTTAATCCCAGGAGGCAGAGCCAGGCGGATCTCTGAGTTCAGGGCCAGCCTGGGGTACCGACTGAGTTCCAGGAAAAGGCGCCAAAGCTACACAGAGAAACCCTGTCTCAAAAAACCAAAAAAAAAAAAAAAAAAAAAAGTAACTGGTTGTCTACATCATATCTTCATAAATTCTTAATTAGCTTATCTTTACTTCTGCCTCAGCCACACACACACCCCAACTCTGGGATTAAAGGTGTTCACCATCATGCCCAGCACTTGTGATAGAAGATAGATTTGTGATAGAAGCTTGTATTGTATTTTTTTAGTAATTTTTAAAGATACATATCTTTTTTAAATAATATGGTGTAGGGGGTGTCCAAGTAGGCCAGAGTTGTTAGATCTCCCTGGGAGCTGGATTTATAGGCAATGAGCTACCCAGTGTGGGTGTTGGGAATTGAACTCTGTATGTTTTGCTAAGTCATCTCTCCAGCCCTATAACAATACAGTAATATAATACAACCAAAACACAGCCTGGAAGCTGACACTGTGTTGTATAGGAGACTGAAGCAGGGGGATCACAGGTTCAAATACAGCCTGAGCTACACGTTAAGACCCTGTCTCAAAACAAGCGCTAAGGATATATCTCAGTGGTAGGGCATCTGTGCAGCATGTGTATGGGCCTGGCTTAGGTCCCCAGCACCACCAAGTTAAGTCTTAGCATATGACGAATCTCCTTGATGTTTAACTCTTACATCCATACAAAAACCTGCATGTAGGTATTTATAGCACTTGTCATTCCTCAACCTCAGAAGAAAGCTAGCTATCCTTCAGTAAATAGAGCCTATTTTAGAACATGCTTTCTGTGTCTATTGTTGAACATCCGTTTACATGCCGATCAATCATTTATCACTGGTTGTGTGAAAGTGATGGTCTTTTTCTGGCTTTTCTATTAACATCTTCTACTCCTAAACAGCATGGCCCTTAAAACTTAGAGAACTATCAAAATTTTAAATGTATATTACTTTTTGTCAGTTTGTGTGTTGTATTTGCACAACAAATATATTTAAAACACTGTAAAAACATAATTTAATTATTGATAGTATAAAGAATACTTTCTTATGGAAATGGGAATGTTGACAGTACTGTGAAGAGTCTATAAAGAGTTTAAAGTTTCAAAGTCATTTTTAATAAAATTAAGCTTTAAAAGAATGTAAAGTTTTTTGAATGGTGTTTCCTATAGCATTACTTATAAAGAATATAACCTAAGCCTACATTAATGAGGATATAGTAAGTATATATTATAGCCGATACAATGGAATACCGTTGTTGTGATGTCTATAAACTAAGCTTACGGGGCTGGGAGAGGCTCAGTTGGTCAAACGCCTGCCACACAAACATTTGAACCTGAGTTCAGATTCCCAGAACCCATGTGGAAAGGTAGAGATGGTAATGCACAGCTACAATCCCTCTGGGGTGTGGAGATCCCTGGAGCTTTCTGGCCAGCCTGTGAGGCTGCATCCGAGTTCCAGATTCGGTGAGAGACCTTGTCTGAAAAATAAGGTGAAGAGTCGAGGCATCTGGCCTCGACTTCTGGCCTCCACACCCACGTGTGCACGCTCATGAGAAGGCATACAAAACAGTATTTTTTAAGAGGCTGCTATGGAGAAATTACACACTATCTCAGAAAAAAAAACTCAAGTGCAAAATTACATTGTGATTTCCAAAAGTGCTTCAAACGCTAATATACTGTGAACAACACGTTTCAAGGGGTGTCCTGAGAATTTATAAAACAGGGAGGCTGTGGAAATGGGTCCGCGAGTGTCTGACAGGTAACCCGAGTTCAATCCCTAGGACCTACATAACAAAAGAAGAACCGACTCTAGGTTGTCCTCGGACCTCCACACGACCACCAATTCGAACACCCACACAGGAAATAAATGTAAATATGGATAATTCTTGAATTCACGCTACCTGGGTTTTTGTCACCCATATAAAATCTGTATATTTACTCATCCGGCTCGCCGCGCAAGGCCTGGTGAAGGCCGACCTGGTGGCTGTCTATGGATGCCAATCTGGGGAAGAAACTCCTTCTCTTGGGTGCTGGGGACTGAACCCAGTAAGTACGTCAAGCAAGAGCTCTCCCACTGGCGCATCCCACAGGTTTGGGGTTGAAATGATTTATGTAAATTACGCGTGATTGGGCGATTTGGAACCACCAGGAGAGGCTGGCTCCACCGGAGCACCAGAGACTGGGACCATGCTCCTGAGGTGCACAGCGGCAGCCGGAAGTTGCCTCTGGGTCTCCAGCTCCGTCTACAGGAAGTGCCCCCTCGGTGCCCCGCTCCAGCTGCAGGAAGTGCCCCCTGTCCCTCATCCCGCTGAACTGCACCGTCACCGGCTCCGCTAACAGCAGGCACCACCAGGCTGTGGCGCTCTGGCCTCCTGGCTCCGGTAGCAGCCTTTCCTGAGCTCGGCACATCCTCGTTGCACACCTTCCCTAAACTTTTGAGCAGCAAATAGACACACTTAACGGCTGGGCGCTAGGCGCTGGCTTATGTGTCTTGGCGTAGATTGGGCACGCTAGAGCCCTGGCTATAGCACCCCAGGCACATCTATTACATTCGTCAAGAAGTCCATCAGTCTTTGTGGGTACCAGGTCCGGGCTGCGTTTGAAGAGTCTATGCAGAGGACTGCGAGGGGCAGGGATGGCTGTGCAGTGATCTGTAATAGAACCCGGAGAACCCGCGTGGCTGAGTTTTCCCCATCCCTACATTAGGTTTGAGGGTGACCCCGAAAGATTATGCACGTACAGAGTAGGTCGCATGCCAGTGGGAATTCACATTGGAAGGATGGCCCACTACAAAGCGGGGAGGGAAGAGGTCAGGGTGTGGTGAATGAGGAACTGGGAAGACCATGGTTTTCTTGTAGGTGGGAACTAACTTCTTTTATTCCAGGATTAACTTTACAAGTGGAAAATAATTAGGAGCTTAATATAATTGGTGGTAAACTAAAAGTAAGACTCAGGTAAAATCAGATTCTGGGAGTTTGAAGTTAGTTCAAGGAAAAGTGTTTGAAACTCTGGTGGTGGTGGTGGTGGTGGTGGTGGTGGTGGTGGTGGTGGAGGAGGAGGAGGCGTCTCTCTCTCCTTCTACCCACCCCATCCCACCCCCGTGTTTAATGGCAGTCTGTAGCAAGAAACGATTTTTCACTCCTCACACTACAACAGTGTGAAACGCTCTTGTGACCTCAAAAGGTCATAGAGATTTGTCCCCACCAGCACAAGCAATTGTTTGCCGAGCACCATATGATGTCCCCTAAGTCAGTGCAGATGGATGGATCCTATATGTTGAAGCTCAAGTATACAAGACGTAAGACTGGTTCCCATTTTCAACATCAGTTGTAAGCTCCAGTTTATTTTGCCTGTGCTTCTGACCCACTGGCTGGGAAGCAGGTTTTTACTGCCCCTCCCAGAGCTCTCTCAGAACTCAGGAAACGTTCTTACCGGTGTGTTATAAAGTATATTGCAAAGGATACAGATGAAGCAGAAAGTGCCTGAGTGATGCCTAGGATAAGATTAAGGGGTGTGGTGTTTCCATGCCCTCTGTGGAGGTGTCAACCTCCCACTGTCTGGAAGCTCCACAAATCCTGCGTGTTTGGTTTTTGATGGAGACTTTATAATATAGGCATGATTAATTAAATAATTATTCAGTTTAACTTACAGCTTATCCCACCCAAAGAATTTTAGGAGTTTTGTGCAAGAACACAGTAAATAACAAACGTATTTCACACTAACACCCAAGTCATGTTGAAGTGTGATCAAAAGTGTGCTTTAGGAAATATTAATCCAATGATGGGAGGTCAGAAGTAAGAAACAAAATGATCGTAATAGTGGATAAAAATGGTAACTAAAGGAACGGAAGGAAGGGATAGCTGTAGGAGGCATTTTGTAGAAATAATTAGCTGAACTCGATGATGATATGGGACCTGATGTTAAGCCTAAATACATGGGAAGTGCTGACATCGATAGAAACGGAGAAATATATAATGAACACCACTGTGAGGGGACTCTGGTTTCCTTTCGATGTGTGATGAAATGTTGGTGCAGGACAGGCGTGAAGCTGAAGGCATCCTGCTAGCCCGGGAAGATGCGGGTCTGGAGTCAAAAGGCAAGTTGGAGCCAGTAAAGGATGCACATGTCCTTGAAACAGGTATGCTGAAATTGAGGTCACCAAAGGAGAAAGTGAGATGAGGGAACTAAAGAAACTGCTGCGTGTCTGCTGTGTCAGGTGTCTGTTGTTCTAATCAAAAAGACAATAAAACCCTAAGAATGGAAACGGCTTCTTGGGGCTCTGTGGGTCGACTGCCCAGTTCTACTGCTGGTCCTACTTAGAGTTACTCATGTCGCTGGGTTAGCCAATAAATTATCAAGGCCCTAGGCCCGGGTAGGCTTTAGCTTAGGAGCCCTGCCTCCAAGTGACCTCTACATGACTAGCTTGGGTTTCCTCACAGTGTGGTTGTCTTGGGGCAGTGTCTCAGGAGCTAGAGGGACACTTCCTTTTACTGTGTCATGTCATCATACTCTGTTTACCGAAGCAAGTTATGGGCCAGCACAGATGTGAGAAAGAATCATGGGAGGCATGCCTGGCAAGGTCTCACTACAGAAGGCATTTGGTGATCAGAAACTTTGGAAGAACATTACCATATCTGCACTTAAAGTGAAATATTCAATGCATATCGATAAATGACCTTCTAACGGTACTGTGTTTCTTCCAAGACAGCTCTCTGGTTTCTCCGTGTGTCAACTTACCCCTCCTCTCTAGCTTAAGAGTAATACATTCGCCGGGCGGTGGTGGCGCACGCCTTTAATCCCAGCACTCGGGAGACAGAGCCAGGTGGATCTCTGTGAGTTCGAGGCCAGCCTGGGCTACCAAGTGAG